CTCTATAGAATGTACAGACTTCAAGCTATAGTCCGCGGAATGAGCACCGCCATTAGAGTCAGAGCTACTGTTGACATATGATTTTAGAAACAAATAACAAAGGGCAGCCTAAACAAATGATAGCTTAGTCGCAGATTTTCTACAAATCTCTGTATTAAACCCAAACAGGTAAAGTTCAAAAGAGGCCGTCGGCAGGTAAGAATTATCAATGCAGTTGGAAAATGTACAATTATGATTTTATCTCTGTATTGGTTGGAACGAAGTCAAATCAAATTGAGGTGTGTTCGATTCAACGACCATTTGAAGAAGAAATTGAAAGGATTTTAGTCTTACCTTGCAGGAATAGGAAGTACAGCGATCACGTTTATCGAACCAAGATTTACCGCTTTCGTGTTTGACTCCGTTTAATCGGCAACCTTGAAAAACAAATATTAAAATTATCAAAAAAGCTCAGGAAGAGAATTAGAATTAAAATAAGACTTCTTTTAAATTTTCAATAATTTTTTTATTTTAATTTTTTTTTTTAGAAAATTTCACTTAAAATTTTCTGCTTACCTTTGCAAGTGTCGCAGCATCTTTTGGGACCATCAAATAAAATAGCATGACATCCATCTAAGTTGTCACATTTTTTCTTATCACATTGGACATAACCATCCTGGAAAAAAAGCAGAAAAATGTTTTAAAATTTATTTCAAAGCTTAAGCAGTATACAGGTGTATATGACAAAAGGGTTATATTCCAGATAAAGGATTACGAAAGCACGGGCACAGGACAGTTTGGTGGACAGCTTGTACGAGGGTCATAAATTGAAAATATTGGACATCAAAACGCTTTCTATGTCTGTCGCAGTGAAAAGTTTTAATTTTTATCTGTAGACCGGCGAAAGTGATAGACGTTGTTTACTTAGTCGCTTCTCTAGTTTGAAGTGAATCGCGGTAGACCAGTGATTACCACAAACGGCGCCCTTCGTCCAGACCCCGAGTCGCCGTTGCAAACCTTTCCCCCAATGTTCAAAGATAGTTCGAATTTTAATCACGTTGAAAAGAGACTTGTCAACAAAGTGTACACATCCCTATCTCACTCTCATTGTGATATATTGAAGACATTATTGCATGTAAACGTCTGGGCGTTCGCGACTCAGACACAGACTACATGCATGAATGTTAAACAGAACGATATGACCAAGTAAATATTTTGGCTTTGACAATTATTCGTCAACATGCTTGCATACATTTTACAAATTGAAACAGTGTTTAGCATTTTCGACGTTGGTTAACGCGTACGTCTTAAATAGTCGCCATTTTGATTTGTAATTCAAGATGGCGTCGAAAGACACTTATGACGTAATATCATAGTAGGCCTAATGTTTTAATAAATTGTAGGCGTATCCTCAAGACATTTTAATGACCATTAAAAAAATGAAGTTTTCCTTATCAGAAAAGGCGACAGGGCGACGAGGCGGCGTGGTCGATAGGCTGTTCTATAGCTTGCTTACATGTTTTGATCACCGGGTAGTAGACTATAGCAATATTTCATGGTATCAGTCAAGTGTCATTTCAGACCCCTTCAGATTTATAATGTTTGTTTTCTAATTCGATAAAGATAACTATATAATAATCAGTAGGGCATTATTAACTAGGACCAAATACACTGTACACCGCCGTCAGACTTCAACGGTGTAACAGTAATCCGTTAATGGGTAGTAGGAGCTTTCACTGAAGTTGGTTTAAGTATTAGAACACTATTAATAACTGCATTAAAATAAAATTATGTGTTTGCACCGTCCCCAGTGACAGCCCTCAGTTCATTAAAGAAAACCGTGGGTAACCTACGAGACAAATAGGCCTACACATCGTACTCGCGACCCTCAAGAATGTCTATAGCTCCTTTGACATTTTCGGCCCACGTTTGAAAGTCGACGCCCCACTTCATGCCGATCAAATGTAATATTTTCCTATCATGTTAAAATTAATATAATAAAAAGTTTTATTGTGTAAATAGTTACGGAAGGGGTGGGCGTGAACAGCCTGGTTTGTGGAGGTGGGGTCATTTTTTCAAACTGATAGGATCCCATATAGTGAAAGAGTCCTAAAGAATTACTAAATATGGAAAACTTGTTTTTTGTTCACATCCCCCTCTACGAGCCTTCGCCTCTTTAAGTTCTCAGTTTGTTTGCCAAACGACAGGTGAAAGACACCAGACGGCCAGGAGAAACACCACACGACTCGTTCTGAAAAACCCCAGATTGTGACTAGACTGTAGACGGCTTACAAATAATTTATTTTATTCCTAATTTATAACCATAAAAAAACATTTTTCAATTTGAGAAAAAAAAAACAGCGATGTCTGTTTACCATTGACTTAGCATAAAACACAATTAACCACAGAGATAATTTTAGGCTCATTTTGTTTATTTGTTTATAATCATGGCTACCTTGAGTTCGTTCGTTTAAAAGACAATAAAAGGAAATGACCGATACGGTAGTGTTCATAAATCCCAGCAGGGTTGGAAAGACAAATTTAGAGGGCACGATTTAGTTAAGTTAGTGTGTAAAATGTTTTACATGTTTGGAAGGGTCGATAGCACAAAGTACCTACCGTGGAAAGACCAAAGAAAAAATTCAATAGGATTTCCAAAGCATGATTTGGTTAAGCTAGTTAGTCTTTAATGTTGTACTTGTTTGTAAATCTCTACATATCACACAACTATCGGCATAGTCAAATATTAAACCACTTGATTCCCCGAGGTGTAAATTAGTTAGTCAATAAACGGATAATAAGTAAAGTCAACAGTTTTATGATAGGAAATGCCCCTCACGACGAGTAGCATGTCAATTTTACTGTCGAGGCGACAAAGACCCTGTTTAATTCAAATGGACGTTTCGGCAAAAGATCAAAGAAAATTATGAGGAGCAATTAGCGCCCAGGTAGCGGCAAAGAATTTGAAATTTCTGCTGTTGGCACCTCGTGGTTGGTTCACATTAAGATTGTTTTGTCTTTGAAATGAGTCGCTAAGAATAGATCTAATTGTTTTGTGCTCAGAAAAAGTGCTGCACACGAGAACCGATTTAGAATATTTTGGCAGACGAATTAGAGGAATCCATAAAAATAGAAAGAAACGACTGGTATCTATGTTAGAATGTTAATATACGAATGATTGAACTGAATGGAAGTGCGATTTCAAAGCTGTTTTCTAACAATGTATAGACTATACATGCAAATTTCATTTCTGAAGATGTCAGTCAGTTCGCAAAAAACAGGCTGTATCTTTCAAGATGTCGAACCACTTTTTCTTCAAAATGTAGACTACATGCGATTCTAATTTTTACAGCATAACAGAATTTAGCCTACATGCAAATTTCATCTCCAGTACTGCAATTCAATTTTCTTTTCCGAAACGGTAATTATTTTTCCTTTACAGAATATCAACTGCATGCAATTTTAATTTTCCAAGATGGCGGATAAAAGTTTAATCATCATTAAAAGCGAAATTTCATTATAAAAAGTTATAATTTCATTATTTCAAAACTGACTTCTTTGCAGTTTCTTCACCATAAAGTGAAACATAAACTTTTTGATGAGATACAAGAAAGCAAATGAAACGTACATAATTCATGTTTTATGGGTTGAAAATGTTCCTCGCAGGTGGTTGAAAATGACAGTTTAGAATGCCCTGTTGATGGATGTGGTACATTTAAAAAAAAGCAAAACTTGAATTCACATTTACAGTTATGCAAGTCGGCCTAGAAATACTCTGACATCGACCGACACCTGCTTTTTTAAACCACCTAATTAATTCAAAATTAACGTTTAGGCCGTGAAATTCGCAAAAGGTGATGAAATAACACATTCAAAGAATTTTCAAACATGCTTTTTCACTTTGGTGGTTCTAAGATAAAGGCAAAGATCAGAAAACCTCATAATTTTGTATGCCAGGGCAATTCTGTTATTCATTTATACACACGAAGAAATAGGAAGGAGGAAAGACGTCGCCTTGGTGAACTCCATTCTTTAGACAAATTTTTAAATTACCATTTGGACGTAGTTTTCTAGTGCATTTCACTTCACTAGCCATGATCCAAAGGTGGGGAAATGAAACTGTATATTAAACAAATTTATTTTTTGTTCGGAAACACTCGAAACTGTTACGAACCAAATCTTACGAGAAGCTGTCAAGTTTTCATGTGTTAAACTTGTCATTGTTCGTTTCGTGTTTTTTAAATTAAAGTACAACTTAGTACATTCTGATTTTTTAGTTGCCTTATCTTCCAAAGAATCTGCATAGCTGAAAAACAATCGCGGAATTCTTTGCAATCATAAAATTATTATCTCCTACAGTTATCTGTATTTGAGGAAACGCCTCCAGGTCGTAAGTACGAAATAATACCAATGATACAAACATGATCAAAGCCTCCAAACTTTTGAATGGTGCCGAATGGATGTGTTATGATGGTTTATGATGAATTCCGGAATTCGTTAGATACACCCAAAACGAAGATTTGGTTTCTTGGCTACATAAAAATTCCAAATAATGGGAAAGCCAGCTTTAAGTGAATTTATGCATGCGACACGTGCTGACAAATTGTAGAAAGTAGGGGACGTGTTTAAGTACGGTGCATTACTTCAAGCTCTTTCTTCCTTCTCAAATAAATATAACAGTACAAAGGGCACCGGTCCTCGCCACATGGGTGGGCCCTATTTCATAAATGATCCAAAACTTAAACTTTACACAATATCGGCGACCGTTTCATGAATTGAATCATTTTCCGAGTCCCTTTCAAAAGAGACAGGGGTCCTAACAATAGTCATATCTAATGCGATTTCGGGTTTCAGTCAACAGTCGGGCGACCTCTACCCGAGGCTATTTAATTACAAAAATTATCTGAAGCGAGTTTGACGGAAAAATCGTCATCAAGCAAGAAGGGGAAGGGATATATTTTTTTTTTTTTTTTTAAAGTATTTGGCTAAGTGTCAGAGAACACCCCCTCGTGTTTTCTACAATGTCTAATGTTCATTTAAGCAACCTAATAAAGGATAAGAATGAAAAATCAAGTTCACATTCTCGAGTCGAATTTTCAGCCACATTGCACTTAAAAAGACGGCAAATTCTTAAGGCGGTTTATCATTGCTTGGTTGAAGTCGGTCGAAAAAAAAAACCTGTTTCATTGAAAAATTTAGTTGAATGAAAATTTGTTATATATTTGTATTTATATTTTTAACAAGTTTTCATTATAAAGTTGAAAGAAATTTGATGATCGCTTCGTTTGCCTTGAAAGCCATTGCATAATATCATTATAATACGATGTTTCGAAGGTTGTTCATTAATTTTCAAAACGTTTTCTATACGTTTTCATTAGCCGTATTGATATAAACCAACCAAAAAGAGTTAGCACACAATATTATCTTCAAGAATGCAATTGGTATTTTCCATTTAAAATATTTCATGAAAAGAAACAATTTTCACATTTATAGAAAAAGAGCAAAACGATTTCCGCTCGAAATTTGTTGGCATTTAATAAATGTCTGTGTGGTCGAAATTTTTTGAGATTTCTTTCAGAATTTTTAGCTGGTTATTTAGTTACACAATTGTTAAAATGCACGAAGGAATTTCAGTAGAAGACCAAACACAAAAGATTGGTTAGACAATGACAATGAGTTTTATCATGAAATCTAGCATCATTAATCATCACAGGCGTTCGTAATTTGATCACCACGGGCATTCGTAATTTGTATGACGAATCTTCAGCCTCTGACTAAAAATTAAGACAAATTGAATGCAGGCTAATTCATTAAGAGATGGAAAAAATTCCTTGGCTCTAGAATCAAATGATTTTATATCACGAAAATATCTTTTCGTTTCTGAAAATACGGCTTTTGAACTTTAGACGAAGCCTTGTTTTTGATTGAATTTTTTCGCAGGAATTGGTTTTTCCTGGAGGTTTTGTCTCTAAAAGCTAATGCTATTTGAATTGGCATAACATTTTCAAACAATATAGAACTTTATGAATAAGATATTCGCCAAACCCTAAAGATATTTTTGTTTGATTCTATCAATTGTACGGAACAACATATTTCTGTTATTGGAGAAAACATGACATTTGGAAGTGGAGATATCTGCCCTGTGCCTTCAAGAATTTCCATTATCTGTGGGACTGGGTTTCGTTTCTGTTGGCTATCGTTCGACCACCCAAACAAACCTTGTGGCCTATCAGATAAAACGTCTTGCCCAAAACAATAAAAAACACACATGTTTTCTCTTGTGAACTTAGATACAGAAGTGGTGCACATATTTCTCTGACGTCATCGTATTATGTGCTCATTTATCACAGACACGTGTGTTGTCGATTTGACGTCTGGTGGAGGCCATTTGGTGCAGAAGAGAGATAGGAATGACAACGATATTTCTATGATTCGTAGAGTTTCTTACCATGCAATAGCAGGAAATGCAGGGGTCTGTAGTAATTCCTTGAATCTTCACTTCGCCGCCTTCATTGTAGCATCGTGTAACGGTTCCTGAAAAAACAAAATAGTTTACATGAAAACTTAGGCATTACAGAATGGAGTAATTGATCAAACATTTTAAAATATTAAACATCGACTCATAAATCATTTCAAAGCATAAGTTCGACGTGTTTGATACTTATCAAACATTAAGCAGTGACCCCTGAAAGCATAAGAAAATTAAAAATTTAATAAATCTGTTATGTCGATTGTTGACTCTTATGTAACACCAATTTGCTTCTCCTAATTTGAAGAGGCTAATTTAACGAGTATTTAGTGTAAATAGCCACTTCATTAGTATTCATTGTAGTGCAATAATAATCAAGTTGGTGGCTGCAATTAACCACGGGGTAGTCGGGAGTGTCCGTCGAATACAGGATTGGGAGTTCGAGATGATTATGTTTCAAACAAAGTCTGTTGTTTTATTACCGGCGATATCCAGGGTAGAAAATTGCCCTATCGTCTGCACATAACAATACCCCCTTCCCTAAATTATACCCAGTTAGTCAATTCTTCGTTTCGCTTTAGCAGATTCCTTGACTGCTTGTCAACGCCAATTTACATAAACCCCCTGTTTGACGTATTTGGAGACAATTTTCCTTCAGAACTGTCGAGGATTTTGACGAATGGTTAAAGAAAAGAGCAATTTTGTTATTAAATTGTGTTGTTTACACATCATAAACCAAAAGAGCAATCGACCATTTAAAAAGAATGAAGTTTTTGTTGTCTCTTTCTAGCTATTGAGACTTATTTCAATGCGGAGTCGTTTTTTGTAGTTATTTTGGTTTCTCCTATATAGAGTTTTTACTATAGCTATTTGTAAATTACCACTTTAAATAACGTTTAAAAAAATGATGTTTAAATTCGTGGTTTGGAAGAGAAGTTTGAAATTGACTTTTAAGGAAAAACTAGTCTTATTTTGTCGTCTTTTGGTTATTCTGAGATTTCGTTTGAAATAAAACTAGAAATATTTTCTCACTGATATTTGAGCAAATTAAATGAAAAATATTTCCATATGCGTTTTGATTGAATTTTTAACATTTACAATGACGAAATATTTCAAATGTGCCGAATATGTAAAGGATAATAATGCGTTAAATGCAGTACATTGTGAAGTTTTAACACAATAATTTTAAAAATTAGAAAATGTTTTTATGAGTCGGTCAATGAAATGCTAAAATGAACAACGATTGTATTTTGAAAAATAACGTCTACCCTGCTGTGATTCACTAAAGCCCGCTATACAACACCGTGAAAATTTAACTGTGCCGACGCTCTGTTATATTTTGAAATCTATTCAAAAACGTGCCCTATTGTCATTATAAGTAAAAAGATATTTCAGGGAAAAAAGAAGGCTCACATGGATTATTTCTGTACTTTTCTTTGATGTCACCGCTTTAGATGACAATATTAAGATAGTAACTCAGATAGAGATCGCATGGCTTAAGGCATTGTATTGATTGTGTGATAGATACATTTTTTATTATGAGGTGAACATATTTAACAAGTTGTTGTGTTATGCAATGACGGAAAAAGTTAAGATATCAAATACAAATGTACTAGGTATTCTTAATTCCGATTTTAAAAATCAAGAGTGTCAAAAGCACTGTGCTATGCGATAATCGAATCCCAAATAATGGTGATATCGAATATTGAAATCCTAACCAGTAATAGGTCGAACGCGGCGAATATTTTGAAGCATATGTCAATACAATTGAGTAGAGATTTCAAGTATATGATCTATGTAGTTATACCTAAAGAATGCCAGAGACCTTGGGCCATACTTTGACTTGATATTTGATTTACATTAATATACTTTACACTGTAAAATATTTCAGTAAAATTCCTAGTTATATTTTGGCAGCTTTTGATGCCAGACAAATTTAAGTTAATGTACAAGAAATTTTAAAAAATTTTGTCATGTTAAGTAATGAATTGTGAACTCTCTGAAATTGGTACGAGTTGATAAACTCAAGTGTGCAGTGTGCTGCAACACAGGAAAACTTATCAAGAAATATGCGTTAAAGAATTATACATATTTATCGGTCGGAATGTTGTGTATTGTTTACGGACTAGAATAACCGTGTGGCAAACACTAAAACCAGGCGGAATAATTCACAGAAATATTGTTTTGATCCGTTCCAGGGGGCGCATTCTTATTCTATTTATTTGCACGTGCGTTTCACATATTGTGGAAATATTACGGCAATATCAATGTAAACAATTTACGTAAAAATGTTATAATTATTGTTTTGGGCTGAAATAAACTGATCGTCGTCTGACAAATGAATAGAATAAATTTGATGGTTCATATTAAAAATGATTTACGAACCTTCTTTGACCTACTTATCGGGCTTTAAATACCGATAAAAAGTGACATTTTAAGAGAAAACTCGAATTTATTTACTTTTAATTTTTCCCGACCAAAGTCGCCTAGATATAGAAGTATTATCTTAGATTGCGATGATTGCATACCTCGAAATGTCTACGTTTTTATTTGCTTATGTAACGAAACGCCAGTTCATTCAACTTATCGTCAGAAATGAATGGAGTTTTACGTTCTATTTAGAATGACGGCTTTTACTTAGTACAAAAACTAAAATTATTCGAATATCAAGTCAAAAATTCATGTTCATATACAATTGCATAGTGGATCCATCGCTTAAGCATTCGAAGAACATCGTGTAAAGGAACGACATAGGGGTGTACCACTTTAAGATGACTATGCCAAAATCGTAATGAAGATAGCGTGTACATTAAATAAGCAAAATATGCCAATAAATTTAAGTTATGTGTTTAATAGAGTAAGAAAGTGAGTAACTTACCTGTAAGCTGGGCTTGTATAAGAATAGGAAAACACGTTAAAATACATAGAGCGATGCATTTGGCAAGTATAGATAATTCCGTATAATACATAGTCTACTGTAATCTTATTCAAATTCACAAAAACACCCACACTATAAACCAAAAACCACAAACAAAAAAATCCGTCGGCGAATTCAAAAGAATAACACTCAAAGAATATATCAGATAAAATGCTTGATATACTATACAAGTATCATCAAGCAATCACTGATATATATATATATTCCACTATGGATGAACACTGTTCAGTATATTGGATGATAAGTCCGAAATATTAGAATGGTCAGTGTAAGTCCGGTTGTGTGTCTTAATCCACAAATGACCAACGGACTCCATTAGGGGAGTCTTAAACCATCAGTCCAGTCCGTGGAGTCGACGGCTTTCACTCATTAAGACTGTGACGCTCTGCCTCGGCGATCCCGTGGTGGGCTTCGCTTAAACAAACACACTAATTTGATCATGATATTGTTGTGGGTAATCGCTGGACCTCCACGACCACTCATACTCTTAATCCTGTCATCTCCCTCTCTCGTGTAAAAACAACATGGTTTGATTGTGAACATCCAGACTAGTATCGCTTGAGATTTCTACCAATCGAAACTACGACAACTTCAACCTGCTTTTTTTACCGACAGTTTCACGACCAATGAAATGACTGGCTGTAGTAATATCGCTACCCTACCGTAGTCTACTGTATACAGGACACAGGCTTGTTGTTCAGGTAATTTATGTTTTTACATAATATTTAGTCAAGAGCCGTAAATCAAAATAAAAAATGCCTTTCGTTTATTAAATTTCTTCTACTTAAAAGTTTATAATGCATGATTTATATGAACGCATTGGTACATTTGGAAATCTTTGTACTTATAGACACGCCTATAGCTTTATATTAAAATTCATCGACGGAAAATAGAAAAGATGCCTCAATAAAAACCATAAGTCATAGATTCTTTTGATTTATTAATTTTGAAAAGTTAAGATGCCGTAAGCCATTCGAAAATCAAAATACATTCAGCTGCATTACGTAGGGAATTTAAGAGTTTTTTTTTCAAATTTTAAATCATTGTGTCCTTGTCTAATGTGAAAATTCATGTATTATTTTTGAGGAGCATTTTTGGCATTCCGGGGGAAATATAAGATACCTTTAATCCATTGGTTTTCATATAATTTCAAGTCATCATATACCTTTGATATTTTTAATTCTTTATATTTTTATCGGAAACATTTTGTATAAATTTGAGAAAATCTTTCTTTCCTTAAAAGTAAAGATTTTCAAAAACATTTTCGCTCATAAAGACGCTCATGAAATTCTCTTAATAACAGGTGATAAATTTCATAGATTTTTTGGGAAACTCTGTTGCATTTTAAGGCTACACTTCTATTCTTAATATCCTTTGAATCGCTTCAATTCAGCAACGAACAATTCAAAATCATATTCGCTCGCTTCTATTTAATCGCAAAATATAATTTCGAACAGAAAAATATAAGTGCATTAAACTGAGCAAATTGGACAAATTGAAAACTTTAGCATAATGACTACGTCTATATCATGGTTTTTGCTAATGACTGACTAATGAAATATACCGCGAAATGACTATATCAAATTCGCGTCGTAAATTTGGAATATGAAGTAAACCGCGTTGTGTGATTTTTTTGTTTTACAATTTACGCACACAGTCAACTGTTCGTGATTTTAAAAGCAAAACAATATATTTGAAATATGAAATTTTAGAACAATAAGCATTGTTATTGCATTGAATTTGTGTCAAATTACATATTATAATATCAGATTTCCTTCTATTTACTCATAAAATTTTAAATCTTATTTCATTTTCGTCAATTTTAAGAAGAATCAAATTCTCGTGTTGCAATTTTACCACAATAAGCATTTGTGTTCTATTTGTATTTGTTAATGACTGTCTAAAATGACATATTACAATATCAAATATATTTACGTGCAAAGCAAATATATGACAATGGTCAACTAAATTTGATTTTTCAGACACGAAATTGTACTTCAAAAAGCCCTACTATATTTTTGTGAGACTCTTGATCAAGATTACACGTAGAAAATAATATATAAAATGCATAGAAAATAATTAATATTCACATAGGCCTAGAATGTTTTGTATTTTGCAAAATGTAACGAATGCTACAATTAATGCAAACATGTACAGAAATTTTCGTTGTTATATGATAATCTTTACTGAAAATTTTTTCAATATCATTTTTGATAACAAAATGTTATTTTTAATTTATGTTCTTCGCTTTTGACATCAAGTAGGACGTAAAACTCCATTCATTTCATTTATTATTACTATATATTCGATTTGATGGTTTGCGAAATACGAAATTATGACGTAATTACAATTTGAATTATCAGAATGTAATGCAATTTTATGCTTGAAAATATTGTCTGTTTCCTTTTGAAAATGAATGTTAAAGTTGCTAAATTGAAACATTATTTACAGTCCTAGAAAGACAGGTTAAGGTGATCTCACGTAAGGGCCACCTGCGGAGCCTAATGATATGAACCATCATGCAAAATAATCATTTCTATGTAATTTATTTAATGAAATGATAGAAAAATTTAACCCTGCAATAATTGTTTATTTAGGCAGACATTTAACGAAGAGTGAGTAAAATCGATCATGATGGGATTAACCTAATCAGATTAAAAATGGATAATCTCATCGATAAACCATCGTGGCTTATCGGATTTAGATTAAAAATCGAAACCGCATCTTTAAATTAATTATCAAATTTGTTTAGATAATGATTGTTTAATTAATTGTTATTTTAATTAATTGTTTGAGTTGATCGCATCATCTTTTACTTTTGAGCCAATTTACATAATTTATGCTAATATATTCAAGTCTCTAAAATCAACAGAATTTTTTTAGAAATCTGTTAAATTTGAATGAAAATTTCTAATATTTACAATCATATATTCCTTGAAACTTCCATAAAAATTAACTTATACGAATAAAAATCAATGAAAATATCTATCAAAAATTTATGTGGCTAAAATTCTGAAATAAAACCTCCACCTTCTATTCAATTCGTTTAATTTGCAATATCCCTCTTACAGCAGATTAACAAAATTTATGTAAATCCAAAGAAAATATGAAGAATTGAGAGAATCAGGCATTGAAGATTAACATTATTTATGCAAATTTATGAAAATAAGAAAACACGAGCTGTAAGAGGAATATATTAGAATAATACAAAGCGATTACGAGGCTGATAATGGCGATAATTTATTGGGAATCGGTAGTTAGTCCTAATGTATTAATCCTAAATTCAATAAAGTCTAAGATAGTCTAAATCCTGAATCAATAATAAACAATTAAATAGTCATATCCAGATAACGCTGGTCAATATTGACTCATAATTTACCTCATTAACCATTGACAGGTTATAGTGAAAATAAATACCATTTTATCTACATCGTCTACATATTTGGGTCAAATTTTTAGAATGTTCAGGGCATGCTTTAAATCCTAAGGATAATCCGCAGGATTTTTGAAGAGTTGGCGCCAATTTTTTTGGCCTGATCAATCATGGTATAGTATAATATATTCCAAATTTTTAGAATGTTCAGGGCATGTTTTAAATCTTAATGATAATCCGCAGGATTTTTGAAGAGTTGGCGCCAATTTTTTTGGCCTGATCAATCATGGTATAGTATAATATATTCCAAATTTTTAGAAGTGTTCAGAGCATGTTTTAAATCCTAAGGATAATCCGCAGGATTTTTGAAGAGTTGGCGCCAATTTTTTTGGCCTGATTAATCATGGTATAGTATAATATATTCCAAATTTTTAGAATGTTCAGGGCATGTTTTAAATCCTAATGATAATCCGCAAGATTTTTGAAGAGTTTGCGCCAATTTTTTTGGCCTGATTAATCATGGTATAGTATAATATATTCCAAATTTTTAGAATGTTCAGGGCATGTTTTAAATCCTAAGGATAATCCGCAGGATTTTTGAAGAGATGGCGCCAAATTTTTTGGCCTGATAAGTCATGGTAGTATAATATATTCTAATATACACTACACTACGAGCCCATTGGCGACAAAGCATCCAACATGAGCCAAGAACAGGTAGCGACCATTCGTCCAACACACTAAGGTATCCCAGACAGAGATAGTGACTGACTGAGCGTCTAACTCGCTGAGGTACCCCTGGCAGCGGAAGCGACTGACTGAGCGTATAACTCGCTGAGGTAGCGCGGTAGCGAGTAAGCGCCTAACTCGCTGAGGTACCCCAGACAGCGGTGGCGAACGACTGAGCGTCTAACTCGCTGAGATACCCCTGACAGCGGAAGCGACCGACTGAGCGTCTAACTTGCTGAGGTAGCGCGGTAGCGAGCAAGCGTCTAGCTCGCTGAGGTACTCCAGACAGCGGTGGCGAACGACTGAGCGTCTAACACACTGAGGTACCCCATACAGCGGAAACGACCGACTGAGCGTCTAACTCGCTGAGGTACGGGGTAGCGAGCAAGGGTCTTACTCGCTGAGGCACCCAGACAGCGGTAGCGAACGACTTCAGGAGCGTTTAACTCGCCGAGGTTCCGCGATAGCGAGTAGGCGTCTTATCCCCGAACCACCCGTACCGCGGGAGCGTATGTGTCCAACTTGTTGAACACTGTAGTTTACCAGAGAAACCACAAGATGAATTAAGTAAATTGATAACGGAAGACCTCATAATAAAAGTTGATGATATCACTGAATTACATTGAAGCAAATCAATAACAATTTCATTAAGATTTGTCTATTTCAATGATATCAGTGGAAAGGTCAGACTAGGTTGAGACAAAGATCTTACAATCTAAGCAAACTTATATATAACCGTATAGCAATCAGTGCAATGTGATCATACTCGTTAGTATCTCAGATAGAGTTTTACGCCCTATTTTTATTTACTTCAGATAGGAACTACAAATGAAGACTGGCAAACACCATGCAGTTTGTAATGAGACAAATGATTGCATAACAAGGGCATTGGCTTGCTCTATTGAGTTCGACAATTTATAGTATATACCAGT